TCAACCGTTGGAAAAATCTCGTATACCTTCAGCAACCGTTTGTTTTGCTAAATCATCCACCGTAATTTATTTCAATACATAAAAATTATCCCACCTCACATCTCGTCCTGGCAAAGCGGGATCAGATGAATAGCCCCTTAGCTAATCAAAAATTTAAAAGATTTCCTATATATTGTATAGAAACATATGTCATGCATAATTCGCTTGTAGAATAATCCTGAAGACAAAATGGAAAGGCATCTTGCGAAACAAAAGACATGGGAAGCTGAGTTGAAGAGGCAGTTTAAACCCATGAAACCGATCGCAATCGGATGTATCTGGGATGGTCAGATGCCGGCCATTTTGAAACAACTAGAAGCATGTTGTTTGCTTGCTGAAGGAAGTATTGATCCTACGTACATGAAGAAAGAATATCAAGAACATATTACCCCAAGTCCGAGTACAACATCGCATTGTAATACAGCTATGCCTGTACCAGAAGAAGGTAAGTGGATGGATTTACTGGATGTGCACCCCTCCCAGCCCCGGTGAAGGGGGCAGCAGGGGTTCCCATCCTAACCTTGGAAAAGGGGCGTAGTTTGTCCTCTTAGCCTCGGCAAAGGGGTGCCAATTTCCTCATTGTAATACAGCTATGCCTGTACCAGAAGAAGGTAAGTGGATGATGGATTTACTGGATGTGCACCCCTCCCAGCCCCGGTGAAGGGGGCAGCAGGGGTTCCCATCCTAACCTTGGAAAAGGGGCGTAGTTTGTCCTCTTAGCCTCGGCAAAGGGGTGCCAATTTCCTCATTGTAATACAGCTATGCCTGTACCAGAAGAAGGTAAGTGGATGATGGATTTACTGGATGTGCACCCCTCCCAGCCCCGGTGAAGGGGGCAGCAGGGGTTCCCATCCTAACCTTGGAAAAGGGGCGTAGTTTGTCCTCTTAGCCTCGGCAAAGGGGTGCCAATTTCCTCATTGTAATACAGCTATGCCTGTACCAGAAGAAGGTAAGTGGATGATGGATTTACTGGATGTGCACCCCTCCCAGCCCCGGTGAAGGGGGCAGCAGGGGTTCCCATCCTAACCTTGGAAAAGGGGCGTAGTTTGTCCTCTTAGCCTCGGCAAAGGGGTGCCAATTTCCTC